GACTGGTCCGGCCGCTGGCTCTGGGCGAAGGGAAGGCGCGAGTCAGGGGTCTTGGTACAACCTCGGGGAAAGGAAAGGCCGGCACAGACGCGGGCTGGACGTCGGGGGACGGTCTTGTCCGTCAGCGGCTGCTTTTAAATATGAAGAAAACACCGAAAGTGCTAATAGTTATAATGAGTTAGGTTTTCGCACCCCTACATGAGGGCCCGTCCCTCCAAACTGGGCTGCTCAATGCCAAGATTTGTGAACATATTGCACTTAGATACGCCCATTCGGTAGTATTTAGAGTTTGCGAAGCTTTTCCACACAGAGCATTCTTGCTTCATATGTGAGGCAGCCCTATATTTTTATTCCCGTTACAGCCAGCAAAATTGAGGCAGGAGCAACACTAATTGAGCATTTCTGTACACCTGACATTCTTCCAAGCCTTTGTGTGTACTATTTCATTTTCTCTTTCATTTCCCAGCTTCACCATGCATTATGCAAAAGACTGCTAGGTATTTGAAGAAGGATAAAACACAGTCCTGTTTTCAAGGTACTTCCCCAGAGTCCATAATAATTGGTTCCTAATTCCTCTGGGTCTTAGAACGGAATAAGCCAATGAGCGGTACACCCATCTACCCCTCAGATATTAATAGTCGGGTGAGAGATGGAAGGTTTATCCAACCTATAATTATTGACCACTAGCTATGGACTAAGCACTGGGAGTGAAGGACTTACTATGACAATGTCCCTGACCCATGACATGGTTTAATATTACAATTCACAATGATTATACAATAGTTATAAATTCTATTCACCAAATAATTCAGCAACACGTGTATAAAGCAAAAAAAAAAAATCAGAGGACATTTAAAGAAACATTGATAGAAATACACTAGTAGTGGGAAAGTTTAATATGTCACTTTTAGTACAACAGACTAGTCAATAAGATAGATCTTATGGATATACATACTTTATACCCTGAAAATAGAGAATACGATAGTAACAACGAAGATAAAATGTTGTTTCAGAATGAAGTTTTCAAGAAATGTGCAAACCTTATATGAGAAAAACGTGAAAGCACCCTTGAAAGTACAAAAATGGGCTTGAACAAATGGAAAGATATTCCATAACATAAACATATCCATCTTCTCTAAGGTAATTTATAAATTTAACAAATACCAATAAAAATACCAACAAGATTTTTATAGAGCTAGACAAGTTGACATTAAAATTCATATGGAAAAATAAAAATGCAAAAATAGCCAGGAAAACAGGAAAAAGAAAAGTTTATGAGGGGAAGCTAGCCCTACCCGTCATTAAAATACACTATAAATCTGGCTTGTTTATCTACTCATGGCAACTGGTGAGGGAATAGGCCAATAGACCAGTGGAATAAAATAGAAAGTCCCAGAAATACTATATACCTAAATGCATATGAAAATGTAATATGTGATAAACATAGTATCTCGAATTACTTGGGAAAAGATGGGCAATTTAGTAAGTATTGGTAAGGCAACTGGCTTGCATTTGAAGAAAGATAAAATTAGAACCAAGTTTCACGCTGTAATCAGGAATAAACTCCAACTGGGCCATGGATATAAATGTCAAAGATGAAGCCATGTAAGTACTAAAAGAAAGTATGTATGATTTTCTCTTTAGTCCGCTGTAGGAAAAGACTTTCTAACTATGACTCAAAATTCAGATCCAACAAACAATAAAGTTGCTGAATTTGACTATGTCTTAAAAAAAACTTTTAAACAACAAAAAATAAGCAAAGATCAATTACTAACCCGAAAACACTTTCCCCTTCACACACATATACATTTCTCACACATTTCTCAAAAATATGAAAAGATGTTCAAATTCACTTACAAGTGAAATGCACATTAAATCTACTCTGATAATACACCTCCAAAAGTATGACAAAGTTAGACATTGTGTTATGGGTGGAAGTGGAGCTCTTGGGGTGCTGTGGGGAAAACAGTTTCCTGAGGTCCCCACCGTGGATGTGTTTTTGTGGAAAGCTTTATAATGTAAAATTAAGGGGGTTGCCCTTCGAGGTCCCATCTCTGTCCATCCCACCATGGAAACAGTCCAATCTTGTCTGCAGCAGGCCAAACTAAAAACCAATCTCCAGTTTCTGCTCCATTTTAAAGTATGTCCAGTCCAACATCCTGCCTGTGGAGTCCACATGGCCATGTGCCATATGGTGCTTCAGGCCACATGGCTATGGAAAGGGCCAGTGTGAGTAACAGAGCAAGAAAGAAGCAAGCAGCCCTAACCGGTTTGTCTCAGTGGATAGAGCGTTGGCCTGTGGATTGAAAGGTCCCAGGTTCAATTCCAGTCAAGGGCATGTACCTTGGTTGTGGGCACATC